CCTCATACTGCTCATACCCCTCTTTTGCAGCCCTGTTAGAGAAACACGGATTTTTGGTCCTTAGCTTAAAAAAATAAAAAGAGGAGACGGAGCTAATGCCTGATCAGAATTCTACCGGAGATGAAGTTAAATTCTGCTGTGATAAAACGCCATCCTGTTCTTATCCACATCAAAGATTATTTCTGAAACAGTATGGATCTCAAATGCTTTTTCTCTTGCGGGTTAAGGTGAGTTCCTTTTTTTTATTTCCTGCTTTTTAAACACATGTGCTCTACAGTACAGGTTAGCTCTGAGTGTTAGTGAGGCTTGCTAATGCAAACAAAGATGAGATTACGTCCAAAACACGGCAGGCATTGTTTCTGATAGCAATTTTCTGTGGGCCCGCTGCCGATTTGACGTCAGATTGGCAGAAAATCTGTATCCGCTCGTTGTACCCCTGTTTTTAAAAGATTTGGGTACGGAGGAAAAGAGAAAGGGTTTTATTTTCTGACGCTGCGTTAGTTCCCCGACGCACCGGGGGCACATATTTATGTATAAAATACATCACAAAGTGCATTTTGCATGATAGGTCCCATTTAATGTATATTTTCTTGTGTCTGACGCGTTGTGAGAATGAACGTGCATATATATTTACTTGTGTGCGCGAGCGTGACACGCATTGCAGACCGCAAGTTAACTGCAAATTTACCTTGACTTTCTAATGCTTCTAATGCCATTTTTGTCGAGGTTCAAGGCATTGGCTACAGACAAACAGTGTCATTTCTCCCACTAGTTCAAGCCATCATACTGTATGTATGTATTGAATGTGTGTGTGTATACAGGGGTGCCGTTTGCCCGCTCTCGGGGTGGACGCCCTCTCAGGCCTGGTCTGGCGGAAACACTGGATCATACATCAGAGCCCTTGATTGGTCTCTGTTGCGGCTTTCACACCAGCGCTTTTCCCTTTCTAGCTCCGAGCTAGAGCTTTTCTGGTTCAGCACCGGTTTCCCTTTTCTGCTCCCGCTCTGTTCACACCGCCCAGCACCCGACTGGTGCTGCCGCTGCTGCGTCATGACGTCACCGTTTACATCGCTGATTTGCTCCCCAACGGCGTTACGGCGCTCACAACAACAACGGGGAACTGCGTCGGGTCGATGATCGTGTTGCTTTTAATCACACAAAGCCAGATTTAAATTGAATAACGACTTCTCCACCCTTATACTTTGCTCCAGAGTGCCGTGGTTCATTGTTTATTAATGTGTTTCTGCAGCATTTACCGACCGCTGCAGTGTTGGCTGCTCTTCTACGGGAGTTTATTCTCCTCCGTTAGCTCCCGGTTAGCTCACACTGCTGCGGCCGCTCTAAAGTATTCACTGTCCGACTCACACAAGCAGCTGATGCATATCCCCAGTTCCCCTTAGCCTAAGTGAATGTGTGTCAGTCTGAATTGACGCTGTTTGGTATCACAACGCTGTTATGAAAGTTTCTCTGGTATAAAATGGGTGATGTTAGCATAGCAACCGAAGCTAAACTGACTACTTGCTATTGCTATCCTATTGTGGCATAAACCGTTTTCTACAGGCACATTTACCGGCGTATTTTTATTATGATTCTACTTGTGATAGTCGGACACGACAACCTGTGCAGCCCATGTATTGATTCCATCCGATAGCTGCTATAATACAAAACAAAACGTCTGCCTCTCTCCACAATGATCAATAACAATGAACGGATGGTCAAAGTAAGGTACAAATAAACAGAATCACACGAAGCCTGGTTAGTGTTGCCTGACTTTATAAAGTGTGTTTATAAGCACTACTGCTTGTAGGCAGGCATGACAGTCGACCCATGTTCAGGGGAGGAGGGTTTAGTTTCCTGCACGCCTCGACGTAAGAGAGACGTAAGCGACGCCACCTCTTAGCTCCGAAGCTTTTGCCTCTTGACCGACAATTTTTTGGAGCTGGAAGTGAACCCGATTCCGGAGCTAAGAGCCGGCACCGCTGCGGTGTGAACAGGAAAACCCGCCGCTTGTCAGGCTCCAGCTCCGAGCCGGAGCTGAAAAGGCACTGGTGTGAAAGGGGCAAGAGTGTCATTCAAGCTCGGGATAACCTCAGCTCAGGTGAGGTAAAGGACTCTGAGTGTTTAGAATCTAAACACTCAGAGTCCTTTACCTATTTAACTATCTAAACTTTAGATAGTTAATTTTGTCTAAGTTCTCAGTGGGTCTCAAATGGTTTAGTCACCATTTATTCAAACACATATAAATATGCATGAATAAATACATAAAAAGTTAACTAGGTGAAAAAAGGTAACATACACTTTTAAAACTTGTTGAGAGCTTAAAGTAGTCTTTGCTGCTGCCTCAAAGAGGAGCAGGGGAGAGAGGGGGGAGACAGGTGAGGCTGATTCAGGAGCACAGACACACTCACAACTATAAATGAACCAAAAATGAATAAATAAACAAGTTTCAGTGTTTTTTTCATATTGGAAATGGTATGTTATTGGTTATGTCCATGATTTTATGATTATTGAAATGCATACAGTTCTTTTTCATATAGGTGTTTCCATAGATCTAGTCTCTTTATTTTCCTCTCAAAATGCACCAGATTGCATTGTGAGATGCATTTAACTCCAAAAAAAAACCGGGGGAGCATGCCCCTGGAACCCCCTAGAGGATTTGAGGTCCACCCCCAATTAAAATCACATTGATAGGTTCCTAAATACATTTACCTTTGTTTTTTAAATAGTAGCCCATGTCCATATGTCTATTTGTGGGTAGTAGATTTAAACTATAGGGCTATCACTATGGGCCCTGCCTGTACCTGTTCGCTCTGCCATCGCGTGAAGGGTCTGCTAACAAGCGACCAACAGAAAGGTTAATGTTATTGCACGTCACCTAACCCCCCCCAAGTATATTTCAGATCTGTGGGAAACACTGGTATCTTTTATGACTTTGAGGAATTGGCTTTTGTCTTTATTTCAAAAATATTTTATCATTAAAATGTGAATAAATTATAATTCAACCTTTAATTCCAGACCTAGCCAATGAGTGTACGTCTGTCATTTTGTTATTGTCAAGAAATCCAATGAAAAAGGAATGGATTAATAACTACATGTTGGGTCTACTTCTCAGAACGTCCTCACTTCCTTACCCTGTCTGTGGCTCTCAGCTTCAAGCTTGCCTAAAGTTGTCACTAGTTTTACCAAACCTTACTCAAACAGTGCTTCATTCGACAGGGACTAGTTACAGCAGTGGATTAATACAGTGTGGCTTATTGATGTGTTTTAAAATAGGGTTTTGACTTAATGAGGCAAGCGGAGTAAGATATATCTGACTTTGGAAACACACAACTAGGCGCAGAATTAAAACAATGTATCAACTAGGGATGCACGATATTGGTTTTTTGAAACCGATACCGATAACTTCCTGCTTCTCAATACCGATACCGATAACCGATAATAAAAAAAATGTTACGCCACTAATTATTTTAACGCGATTAACGCATGTGTATTTTTTTTTCCTCGGCCGCCCCGTAGTTTCAGAGCGCATCGAGTTTAAAATACCATCTACAAGCTGATGCTGACAGCCCCGCTCCTGTCGCCCGCTTGTGGCAGACCACACTTCCACGCTCACCGGCAGGCACCGACTGGCCATCTGGAGGACCGGGAGGGTGTGTGTATGTGTGGCCCGAGCGAGCGAGAGATTGACCTTACGTGCATTGTTGTTGTTAGCATCTGGTGCTAGCTAGCTGCGCTAACGGATATACGGAGCTGTTTAAATGAAAACAGAGGAGCGACAGACTGGGCATAAACCACATGAGCTGTAGTGGAGTCAGGTGAACGTGTCGAGGCACGGAGCAGAAGGCGACAGGTGTAGCAGTCAGACAGGTTTGTCAAAGAAGAGAGAGACAACGGGCGAGAACAGAGAGGCTGATCACTGCTGCCTGTTCTGGGAGGGAACATGCTTCAGTTCTTCATTTCAGTTGTAAACAGAGTTTTTTATGACTGTAATAATTCATTTAAATTGTTTTACATTAACTATGGTTCAGACTTTCATGGTCCCCACAGGAAGTCATTATTTTCAAACGGTCGCTGTTTTCACTTATACGGTGAGATAACATCTTCAAAAAAAGCCCACTGTTTGGATTGGGATCACAATTTGTAAATCAATGAAGTGAAATGAGCCCTGCCAACCATAAGGGGACATTTGTGGTTTTGAGTAAAACAACTTCTTCCCCTCTGGAGTATTTTAAAGATTTGGTTAAACCCTCTGACATTTAAATCTACCCCCATTATCAGGTCAACATTTGTCCAGTTATTAGGACAAGATACCTGCAAATGTCCACAGCATTGTTATATTAACATTGTGCAATCATGTTAGCATGTTATTATTAGCTTTTAGCTCCAGTTACAGCCCCACAGCTGCTAGCAAGACTGTAGACTCTTAGTATTGTTATTGGTCGCTTGAGGAGCAGGTGCACATTAAATCTATTGATTTCATGTTGTGTATCACTCTAGACCTCCCGGACGTTTTATAGGTTCATATTTTAGAATTAAATTGTATTAAAAGATAAAAACACAACGAGTCCATTGATGGGATTTATTCTTCCTTTGTTTCCCTTTTCTATTGAACATTATTATAGGTCTTAAACTCAAATCTTCATGGTTCTAAAAAGCAACCAAGACAATGTGACAAAAAAAAAGTTACATTTGGAGAGGACAGAATGAATTTCAGAGTACGACACAGATTGAAAGCAAGAATAATTAGCAATGGTTATGGACTGAACTGAACCTAATTGTTATCTTTTGATGAAAAGTCAAAAACACTGACTTCCTAGGTAGCAGAAATATATATATATATATAGTCTTGTATTTTCTACCAAGCTATTCACAGTTCTCTACAGTGTATTGTGGGAACACTTTGGTTCATCAGCCTTCCTCTGGCTGTGGTGTTATAATGGAGAGTGATGCGTCCTTTTGCTTAATGTCTGCCTCTGTCCCCCCCCCCCCTCTCTGTCCAGGTATCGACTATAAAACCACCACCATCCTTCTGGACGGGAAGAGAGTGAAGCTGGAGCTTTGGTAAGCACACTCATTACTGCTGAAATGATAACACATTATTGTCTGTACAAAAGATAGTGACTACTGTTTTTTTTGTGGGATGCACTCTTAAATCTAAATGCCTTTATGGGTTAGTCCAAATATATAATATTCTTGTGGTATGAAACCATCCATCCATCTTCTCCCGCTTATCCGTGGTCGGGTCGCGGGGGTAGCAGTTCCAGGTATGAAACCATGAGTGTTTATCTACACCAGTGTTTACCATTTCTCTCTGAGGTCTCAAACCTGTCACGCATTGACAAATGACTTTTGAACAATACAACGACACCATGTCTATCTAAGGTTGTCCCTGTTACTCTGGATAATCTACATACCTCAGGGCCTGTTTTTATAAGAGACATCTTCAGGAGAGCGTAGTGCAGAGGAAGAATAATCACAGAAGACATTTTGTGATGCTAATCGCAAAATGTAAATCACCTCTATGTATTTAAGCGGAGTGAAAATATAGAAATCCCTGAAATATATTTCAAAATCTGGACGAATAAAAGCAAAAATTACTTTATTTTCGGAGACCCCTGAAGTGTTCATAATGAATGCAAGTACAACATTACATCATTTGATTAATCTCATGTAAAAATTGCCTGTGGTGCCTAAAGGTCTTCATTCTCATATTTCTCCGACCTACCTGCAGAGCGAACCAAAAAAGCTGCCAAAGATGTGCAATATATCAGGCTGTTTTTGAAAAAATGTGTATTAAAAGATGCGTCTTGAGTATTTCAGTCTGATGGATGCTGCAGCCAGAAAAAACATCAAGTCTTGGCTCTGAATATTTCACTCGGTGTAAACATCATAGAGCTTCAATGGAGAGCTGGAACAACATGATACAGAATAGATCTCAAACTGTCAGACAGGGAAAGCTACTTAAGGGAAAAAGGGAATAATGTCAAGGGGTTGCATTTCATTAACATCATATTTTAAAATAAGCACAAGCGACATATAGAGCAAGAATACATTAAGCAGGAAGGTTTCTATATTCGTTAAAAACATGTTTGCAGATGCATCGACTGTTTTCTTCTTATTTAAACCAATCATTTGAAACATCTAATTGTAAAGACAGCCAGCTGCAGGGGGCATGTACTTTCCTGCAGATGTTGTGGGTCCTTATTCTCTGCATATTATTACATGCCTGACAAATAATCTTGCATCGGTGGAGATGCAGCAGATGAATCTGTCAGTAAAGACGCTGCAGCGCTAGGTGGAAGTAGGCCAAGGAATGCACTCCTCCCGGGAGAAGCAACGCCTTGTCTTCCCTGTGGAGGGAAAGGTTTCAAAGCGTGCAGCCCTATGATGCTGACTCTTCTTTAGTCTGTCCTCACTGTTGTCTAAATGTGGTCCTTTCCATCCTCTGCTTCCTTTCTATTTCTGTCTCTGTTGCCATCTGTGTCTCATGACTCTCAGAGAGAAACAGGAAATGTCAAGTTGAAGTATATCTGGTGGTGTTATATATATTTATTTTAGTCAGCAAATCACTTCTGCAGAAAACTGTTAAAACACATAAATGAGAAACACTGTTGCACCTGGTGACAGGTCACACACACATCGTCATGTTCAGGTTCATATGTGTATGTAGTGTCTCTACTGTGACATGTCTCCATGCTTTAATGTTCAAAAAGCTCTTTATTGTTCTCATACCGCCTGTGCTGCACCTCTTTTCACCCTCTGTCTGAAACCAGAGCCCAGTCCGCTCTGATTGGTTAGCTGGCCGGCTCTGTTGTGATTGGTCAGCCGCTTAGAGATGTCCCGCCCCTTAGCCTATCAAGCACAATGTGATGGAGCGCCAGCCAGTAGAAGCGCAAGTGTTAAATGGTGATGTCACTATGTTACAGAAGTAAAGAAAGAGTCCAATGGAAGCGTTTCAGGCAGGGGGGGGGTGCTTATACCCTCTGAACACCATGGCAGCCCTCTGAGCTTGTTTTTCATCAGGTGAAGGCAAAACAAATACTATTAATGTACTTCATGTCATTTCATTTATGTATTTGACATCCAAAGCTTCTAATGGTGTCTTCAAATATAGCTGTGGTAACTGTTGTCATATGTCATGAATTATGACCCTTTTTTAAAGGCCCTAGTGATTCTCAAATGGGGGTAAAAAAAAAGTTAATTCAAAAAATACCATGCATGATTACAAAGATAATCTTAGTACAATAAGTTAAATAGAAAACACAATTTTATATCAAATATTCCTAGAACCTCATAAACATGTCAAATTGGTGTATTGTATTTGATAGTTTTGCATAATATATCATTTTGTTCATTGGTTTGTTAAACAGATATTACTTCAGTTGAAAAACTCCTTTGAAAAATCAGTTTACATTTTTTTTCTTTCTTCATGCATAAAATGAAAATATCCTTAGTTTGTTGGAAAGGAGTTAATAAATCACACACGGAGGGAACATCACTATATTGGAATTATTTGTATAGACTTTTTCGATCAAACATTTTCGGGGTCGGTCAGGGGGTACATGACTGAAAAAAGTTTGAGATGCACTGCCCTAGCGCAAAATACAGAAGGATCAAATACAAATATTTGGTTAGATAAAAACATTATATCTATCTTTAGTCCATACATTATGACTTTTGAACTTAACCATGCTCGGGTGTTATTGGAAATGTTTGGAGTCTGAAACAATCCTTCTCAACTAACTGGAATCTAATTCTACAAATAATGCTAACAATATTAGTGTAGCCTAATCTTAATATTTAAATGGATGCAAATATCATCTTTAAAACAGTGAATAAGCGTTCAACTGCTGCTCAACATTAAACTGTTGATTTAGTATTCAAAAGGCAATGTCATAACTAAAGCTCTGAACTATTCATTTCAGCTCTTTTGACGAGTAATGCAATAATCAGGCTCAAAGTGCAACATGTTGGTCTGCAGACAGGGGAGAATCATTTAATTCTTTCATTTTCATTCAGAAAGCTGCCTACTAACATTGAATTAGTATGAACATCCTACATGGTGGACCGCACAATAGTTGATTGACAGGTGATCGTCTCTCAGACTTTGACATCTGACTGGATGAACACACGACCGGCTCATCTGGCTTTGCTTTCCTTAAGCAGCTCGTCTGAAATGATCCTTCAAACCCTCCACTATAAATAGTTTCTGAATCTACAGTAAGATGTGAAACGAGCTGTGAAGTTGTAAAATGATGCTTCCTTTCATATTTGTAACACTGGTTTAAAAATAGCTCAATTAATCCTCAATTATTCTCTTTGTAAAGAATCTGATATCACAAGATGGGTAAGATAGAGGTTGGAAAAAGAAACGGGCTACAAAATAATGTGAGACAACGGATATAGTCATCCAGATGTGGGTAAAAGTACATCGAGTACAACAACGTTACTTTAGGAAATACGTGCGTTGAAGCTTGCCGGCGGGCGTGTCTGAAACTCGACCAACAATCATCACATGAATCTCCCGCCCCTGACACACAAGCAGCGGTTTGATTGGCGAGAGCTTGTACTGGCATATGATTCGATTGGCTGACGCTTCTGCCGAGGCGTCAAAAGTTGAACATTGCTCAACTTTTGCAGCGAGCCACGCCAGCAACGCTCCTCGTCGCTTCCCACAATGCAGTTCGGCGAAAACTGACGTCACCCCATTCAAAGTGAATGGTGAAGCGTCAACGCACGCCGCTGTGTGGACGGGCCGTTACTCTGTCATCAAAAATCTACCCATTACATTTCTGTTTATTTCTGCCAAAATATTGAAGTTGGATGAATTCAGACCAGTAGCCGGACGAGTGTTTCCGTCTTCAGTGTTTCACATATGAATCTTTCTTCTGTCTTTTCTCTCTGTTCTCAGGGACACCTCGGGCCAGGGGAGGTTCTGCACCATCTTTCGGTCATATTCCCGCGGGGCTCAGGTGAGAAAAAACTCATTAAATAGACTACTGAACTTTGCATTAAGTAAGCCTGCTGGATCAAATGCAGGTTAATGCTAAAAGATATTTGAGCAGATGGTAATCCTTGTTATAAAGTTTGAGAAACACTGTCCTAATGTGATAGTGATTACAGGCAGACGTGTGACTGCTTGTTGTTGTTGTCGTGTGTGTCTCCAGGGGATCCTGCTGGTGTATGACATCACAAACCGCTGGTCCTTTGACGGCATCGACAGGTGGATCAGAGAGATCGATGAGGTGAGTGTGGACGTGGAGCCCTGCCATCAAACTCTGGGGCAGAGCATTTTTCAGATACATTTACATTCTGAAGCTTTTATTTTGAAAAAAACTATTTACATTTGTACGTTTCTGTTAACATGCATCGATTGTTGGAGGCTTTTATTTTGAAAAACAGGCCTCGTCCTGAGTCCATTTTAAGATACAGTTACCATCTGGTGCTTTTATTTTGAAAAACATACTCCATGGTCTCTATAACTAATTGATCCTTTACAAACAACTGTATTTATATAACTAACTTGTGTTAATTACGCTACTTACTAGTTGCCTTACTGTGTATATATATATATATATATATAACGCTTTTATAGTATTTTACGATTATGATGTATATTTGTCGATTAGTCTTAATAAGTTTGCTGCCCAGACTTATTTTCAATACCTTAAATACTCCCATTTAATGTAACACAAAAACTTGGAAAAAGACAATGAATTATTGTGAAAGGAGGCTGGGTTTTATTTTCAAAAGTTAATATCTGACGGGGAAACACAATGCCATTGTTAACCCTTCCTGCCTCGGCTGCCATGCCGACAGAGACGTTGATTAGTTGTTGATTGTTGTTGTTTTGCTGCAACAATAATGAAGCTGCATAATAATAATAATCAGACGGTGTACCTTTTTAAATATGAGCAAAACCTTTTTTATAAATATATATATTTATTGTGTGTGTAGGGGGGGTGCTACACTCATCATGTCCTTCCTGCTGAATTAGAGACCTAGAGGATGTGTGTGTGAGTTTGTGCCTGCGTCTGTGTGAGTGTGTGTGATATTTTTGGCCTGTGGAATGTGTGTTTCAGTCCGGCCTTTCCTGCTCCACCTCCAAAGACGTGGTGTGGCGGTCGTCCACTTTAGAAACACAGAAATAAAGTAGAGATGGAGGGATGAAAATCTCTGTGTGGTGACAGTCTGCAGAGAACAACTGTTAGGTTTTATCTCTGGTTATATGCTGTATGTTTTATATATCTTTACTATCTTTCCCTGTTGTCTCAGTGTAGAGCTTCATCTAATTATTTTATCATTATGTTCAGTTTTATTCATTATATTAATCTCTTCTTTATTTTGATCGACCAATGTATTGTGAAGTTAACATTTTAGTGAAAAGGGAAAAATGCTCTTTACATTTTGTTATTAAAATGTAAAGGTTTTCCAAATAATACAGCAATATAAAACAGAAACACTTTATTTAGTTTTTTCAACTAGCCTCCTTCAAGTTTATTCGATGCTAACACTTTTGTACTTAGTAACATTTTAAGTGCAGTGATTGTTCACGTCACAGAGCATTCCTACACTGTAGTGTTACTGCTTTGCTTCTGAGAAAGATATGAGTTAGGGCTGCACGATTTTGGGGAAAAATCTAATTGCGATTTTTCTGACAAATATTGCGATGCGATTTGCGTTAATTTTTTTTAAGCGACCCAACGGAAGTTTATTGTAAAATGCGGCCATAACTCCGGCTAGGAAGGTCGCATCAACGTGCTCCCGTCTCTAGCACCCCGCAGCCCGAGCTACGAGTGAAAGAACTAAACTTACATGAAACTTCCGTTGGGTTGCTTTAAAGTCAAGCTTCAGTTTCAGATTCTCCCTGTCATAGAAACATGTGATGGAGCAGTACTAACCTGACTCAGACGGGTTGTTTCACCAAAGCATCTAAAGCTCCATTGGAAGCCATTTGGAAAGGGCAGGCACTTTCAAAAAGACTTGGCAGGTGATTGGATCAATCTGTCTATCACCTTCTATCATGGGCCACTTCTGATTGGTTAACAATGGCTGGTACATGTGGAGCACAGCACTTCTGATTGGTGTGGATGACTGACACACAAGAAAAGAAAAAATGTTTTAAAAAAATTGTAGGCTTTGCGATTTGATAATCGCATCATTTCAAATCGCGATTTCAATTTAATATCAATTAATCATTCAGCCCTAATATGAGTGCTATGTCTCTGCTCTGCTGGAGATGTACATACCCTAGCTTCAGGAGAAACCTCTAGTGTTAGCTGCTGCTGCTGCAGATGTTGCCGTTCCCCCTGAGCCTGCTGCTGCTGTGCCACAGGGACTCTGAGCATGAAAAGGCAGCAGGGAGGGACGTGAGGAGAGGGTGATGAGGGGTGACAGTGCGTGGGAGTGAAGGAGGCCATCGTGTTTCTCAGAACAGATGGGATGAGTTAGCGAGACCTGAGGCTGAGAGACAGGGCCAGATACACGCTTGTTGAATTAATAACACACTTCCTCTGCTAACTTAATGTGAATTAAATGTCTCTCACACAGTGGTGGAATGTTACTAAGCACTTTTACAAAAAGTGTAGGGACTTAAGTATTAATTTTTCATTGAATCCACTACATTCATTAGACATTTAGTTACAACACACACATTGTTTTGCAAGTTTAATGCCCGAAAATCGAGCTTTTTGACTTCACAAAACAGCTTTGATAGTAAAGCGCCTCCATCGCTGTATCCATTTCCCTTTATCCACCAATGCCTTGCCCATCTCCTTCTCCTCTTGACTCTAATTGCGGGTTGGAATGAATAACGGGTTGGAATCCATAGCTTTACTTCCTTTATTCCATTTAAAGATCGTCATTAGCACTAGCATTAGCATTTGCTATTCTTCCTGGGGTCCAGACACAGAGTCTAACGCACATACATACTTTAGCCACATCAGCACACAAAATAAGAACAGCTCATTAAATGAACAAAGCTTAATTCTGTCCTCCTGTTTGATTCTTTACTTCCCAGCATGCACCAGGAGTGCCTCGGATCCTCGTTGGTAACCGGCTGCATCTGGCCTTCAAACGGCAAGTTCCCACGGAGCAGGCGCGGGCGTACGCCGAGAAGAACGGCATGACCTTCTTCGAGGTGAGCCCGCTGTGCAACTTCAACGTCATCGAGTCGTTCACGGAGCTGTCGCGCATCGTGCTCATGAGGCACGGCATGGAGAAGTTCTGGAAGCCCAACAGAGGTGAGCGGGGGGGCATGGGGGTGTGGTCACCGTGATGTTCATTCTTTCTTTCTTTGTGTGTCACTTTTTGGCCGACAGATTTGATTTGAAAATAAAAGATTGTTGGTTTATCCTTTTCTTGTTGTAGTAGTTGACATCCCCATTAGCACTAGCCTTGACTATTCCTCATGGGGTCCGCATTCTGATCATGCTAAATTCAAATAAAGATTTTCAACTAAATAGGAAAATCAAACTATTGCAAGCTGCAAAGAAACAAGGTCTAAAGACTGTGTGCTTTTCACTGAGCCACACCTCCGCAGCCTCTCCCCATTCAGACCTAAACCCCACCTGCTGGAGTTACACACACTCAAATTCCTTTACAAACACACATTACACAATCTCATGATCCAAATGGCAAATTAATATTGTGTGTGTGTGTCAAACCACCATCATACAGCAGTGTTTACCCCTACCTGCGAGTAAACATGATTCGGATTCTAGAAAGAAATAATTAGATCACTTTTTTCAAATTGAGGGTTAGTTCGAGGGTTTTCTTTAAGGGGAGATAGACGGCAGACACTCAAAGCCTTATTCAAACCTGGATGCTTATATTTATCCTTTATTTTTTCTGTTCACTCGGATTGTTAGCTGTGGAATTTTTTTTTAAATCTGTAGCTCGACATGATCTCATTGTAACGTGTGCCTCCTCTCCGCAGTGTTCAGCCTGCAGGACCTGTGCTGCAGAGCCATCGTGTCGTGCACGCCGGTCCACCTCATCGACAAGCTGCCGCTGCCCGTCGCCATCAAGTCGCACCTCAAGTCCTTCTCCATGGCCAACGGCATGAACGCCGTCATGATGCACGGACGCTCCTACTCCCTGGCCAACCCCGCCGGCGGCTCCAAGGGGAACAGCCTGAAGCGCTCCAAGTCCATCCGTCCGCCTCAGAGCCCGCCGCAGAACTGCACCCGCAACAACTGCAAAATCTCCTAGTAAACGCTCAGGAGGCGCTTGTTCAGGATGTTAGAGGAAAAGAGCACATCCCTAAACCTGAGGAGCTGAAGAGCAAGAATGATGGATAAAGGGATGGCTTCCTGCTCTCTTAAAGAGCCTTTCCAGAGGAGAAGCCCCACCGGGTATCAGAGGAGAGCACGGAAAAACATCTGGGTCTCCACAGACCGGACCCCCACGAGAGTCACTGCTGGCGTTTTAACTACCTGTACAGAACTCTCTCACAAACGTATTTAGTTCCTGGACATGATGCACGCCTCATTGTGTGTGTGCATCACAGAGATCACCTCAACATTCTTCACCTTTGATGTCTCACATTCCCCTCTTTCTTCTGGTTACAAGTCCACACCCAGTTCATCTGCTGTTTTAATGACCAGTCAGTCATTTCATTGATCATTGTGTCTCCTCAGCTGGCTGTAACGGTTCTGTTTGAAAACTCACGGGCGAATTCACAAAGAATGGATTGTGGCTGCTGATGGCAAAGTCCCTCACTAAAGATAACACGGCGCTAAAATGATCACAGCACACCACCAATGTTTTGCACTTGAGTGCATTTAGCTATTTGTGACATGGATCCAAGGCAGAAAGAACATTTCCAGGCCGTGAGCTGCAGCTCCTGAAACACAAGATGCAGTCATTCTTCCAATGTGACAAAGAGAAAGCGTTTCAGGATTCAACCACCAACTCTCTGAAGTTATCATTTCACTGAAACGGCTTGTGCGCTGATCTTTGTGAATTGGACTCTTTTGGCAGGCCTACGAAGAGGCCAGTTTTGTGCCAAGTTTCTGCACATGACCAAATTGAAATATGTTCGAATAGCACAGCAGCACATTCAAACCACTGCGAAAGCGTTAACAATGACACCTTTCTCTTTGTCTTATATGAGCCGCAGAAGTCGTGCAATCCTTTTTGTGAATTCGCCCCTCGTTTTGCCTCGAAGCTTAAAACTCTCTAAAGGGAAATCTTGGCGACAACCTGAGTGAGGGTTTAATAGCCGGTGTCTTCAGGACCACCTTTAAAATCGTTTAAAAGACGCAGCCTGATCCGGATCTCAGGTCAGGACATGCTGGTGCGCAGGAGTCCATTTCTGAATATTGCCGTAGAGATGTCAATATAAACACAAACTGCATTTGTAATGAGTCCGTTCACCTGCAACAAAGTGGCTTAAAGGAAGAAGAAAAAACACCAAATTCCCCATTTCTCTCAGTTTATTTTCATGTTTTATTGTTTACACAACCACTTTCCACGGCAAGGGATCCAGCGATGCTTGTTGCCATAGATACCACTCAATACTTTTTTTGTGAATTTTTTTTTTTTTTAACTCGCATCCACTTGGAAGAAAAACAGTTGATCGCCAGATGCTGCGGTTCATTTTATATTTCTCATATGTGTTGATAAATCCCATTATGAGCTAGTCCTTTCTTGGCCAAAGGGCTTCTGGGAGTTGTAGTCAGGAGAGGTAAAGCCTCACACACTGTTGGATACAGGCAGAGATTACTTTTTACTATCGCTCCTGTTTTTTTTTAATCTCCCAAATGTTTAGAGACACCTTCTTCTTCTTGTTTTCACATTTCACACCTCCAGGCTTTTATTTGAACTAAAACTCCGCTCCGTCTTAGTGGAACTCAAATAGCGGGGGGGTGGGGGTGGAATATCACTTTAATTCTCCTGTACTGTGTAGAATTCCCCCATCCCTCCCAGCCGTGTTTTCCATACATTGATTAGAGGTGGAGCGAGAGGGAGTGCAGATATCTGAGAGGGGGGGGGGGGGTCGGGTAGAGTGGAATGTCTGCAGTATTTACAGTAAACAGCGCCTGTGTTTACCACTCTTCTCTGAATGTCACTCAGTCCCCTTCAGCCTCTCGTCTCCTGCAGTATCTCCCTATAGGGCTAAACGACTGCTTTAGCTCCACATCACAGATTATTGATCAACATAGTGTTAAATACTTTATGAAGAGAAAGCAGTGTAAAGTAGAATTCATATTAAAAGCTTCCATTAGGTTAACATTTGTTCCAGAAGACAAATAGTTTCAAATCCTTTCAGACAAACCGGAGGAAAAGGGCATACGATGGGGATTCAGGACCAGTGGGAAACGGCAGACACAAGTTGTCAACATTGTTCAACAGCGAGGAAACATTGGCTTTGATTTGTAGGGTTAACGGTGTTGGACACATGAGAGAATGAAAGCAGCATTTCTTCTTCTTCTTCTTCTTCCCTGCCTCTGATGTACACCTCGCCTCTGCATGCTGTCCCATGATTCATAGTTACTGAATAATAGATGCTCTTTTGGTAGATCTCTGGAGGGCTTCATCAGTCCGTCTCTTTCATCCTCCTCTCAGCTCCACCTCTCAGCGTCCGCCTCGTTTTCTCGATAACACAAAGAGTGAGCTGCTGCTGCATACACTTTTCCCTCAGGTGTTCAGTGTGTTTTCTACGGAGGCCCGGAGGCCATGGACAGAAAACACATATATATATATATATATATATATATATATATGGAGGTTTTAAAAAATAAGGACTCAACTTGGGGCTCAAAATGATCAATCACGATATAGTCATAACGATATTAATACTACGTTCTCTGGTAATATAATTATTAAATAAATAATGACATGTTAAAGCCTGTACACTTTTTTTCTCATTTTAAGTTTAGTGCAAAAATAAAAATGATGGCGATAATTGAATATCGGCCCAGCGTAACACGCGATTGAAGCAATATTGAAAAACGCCCTCAACATACGAACATATTTCAACGGTTTTCTATATATCATAATATTGCCCGGCCATAACTCCAGCTTGTTGCCAAGATTTCCAGAAGAGGTTTCCCTCTCTGTGTTTCATCCTTGCGGACTTGTTTTGTGTTATATTGTACATCCAGCCTCTGTGTGTTATGTGATAATAACACACATGTTTTGGTTCCACACCTCCCTTTTGATTTGTTTTATGGACTTCCTCCTCAGTGTTTGCTGACTCTGCTTAATTGTGTTTCTCCTGAAATGAGTTTCCATTTTGGACTTTTAAAAAAAAGAAAGAAAAGGATGGTGGAAGGTTCCGGACCGGATATTGTGGAAGTGTTTGTACAAAGGAGCAGACTGTTGTGATGAGAACAAAATGTAAAACACTATTCTGGTTTTTGGCTAAAGCTGCTGAGTAATCTGAAGTGAGTGTGTGAGAGAAAGAGAGTGTGAGTGTGTGTGTCTAGGTGTGTTTTGTGAGAATGTTCCTTTAAACACAAAGCTGAACATTTTCTTTCTTTTTTTAAATTATTGATTGTACAGTTTTAAGGTGAGGGTATGAAGAGATAAGACTTTTTCACAATAAAACTATTGAATGTTGGAGTCAAGATGTCGCTGCTGAGTATTTTTATGTTTGACTGCTGCTTTAAAGCATAGAATATATATAAAGCAACTTCGGTGTCGTTTATTTTGGAGAGGTTGCCATCTACTGGAAGTTAAATGCATCCAAACTCATGGACTTTTAACTTTAACTTAATTTAACTAGTTTGTTCTATATCAATGAAATGGTTAATAATTGTTTTGTTATAATTATTATTATCCTGTGGTAACACTTCAGATCTGATTTCAGCATTTTTGTGAAAATTCTCTAAATGTCTCCCTTTTTTATAGTAATACATTTATTATTTAAAAATAATGCATTATAATTCAAAAACTAAAACATGTGTAGCTTTAAAATAGTCAGATCTTGATAACATAGCACACAAAGTAAGGACAGATGTGCTGGTAGATAACTAATGAGCAGCAGATCTGAGTATGTGGGCTGCTCCCATGAATCATTTGCTAAGTCTTCTCTGCCAATGCCAGACAGCTTGTTATTGCTGTTGCTATTGACTCTACCATTTCTGGTACCCCCAGGTGCTGACAATCAGGTGCCTGGTTACCTGATTAGCTTCTGATTGTCTGCACCTGCCAGCAAAGCCAGAATGACCAACACAACCACGTCGGCTGACTTGGGACAAATGCTGGTTGAAGAATGGGATGCCATCCCACAGTAGAGTGTGAGCAGGCTGGTGACAGCAAGAGGAGGAGAGGTTGTTGTGGCTGTGAATGGTTCTTCCACACGCTACTGAGGCTACTTGTTAAATGAATACATGTTTCAATTGCCAATATGTCTTGTTTCATCAAACTTCAATCATCCAATCACCAAACAAGAGACACCAGTCAAAAGAAAAGCTGTTTGGCATTGGCAGAGGAGATTTGTCACATTTTTCTTATAGTATACTTTAGTATAGATAAGACAATATTATAACGTTATTGACCCCTCAACTAATTAAATTGTAACAAAAAGTCAAAGTAAGAGTGATGGATAAAAATCAACTTAATGTCAAATAAAAGAACTGCCTAATACGTACAGTATCCACGCCGAAAACATCTTTAACCTATTGCACTGGGTTATTAATTATTGTTTTATAAATAATAATAATTAATAGTAGGCTACATAAAAAGTGTTTTTAAATGTAATTGATGAATAGTTTATAATCATTAATCATAAGTAGGGAGACCAGGGACAGTTGCAACACTTTTTGGGTTTTTCCCCAATAAGTAAAAAACCATTTACAATAGGATAGCCATTTTGCTATATTATACATTATCAATATGTCAGCTACTGAAACAATGTATTTAAGATGTTTTTATGAAATAAGTACAGGTTAGAAAATGTATATATTTTTTTTAACTCAACTGTTACAACTGTCCTTGTGTACAGGGACAGTTGTAGCACATGCCAGGCACGGTTGTAACATGTTAATAACGGTTACCTTTTTCACACCACATGACAACAAATAGGGAAAGCTGTCAAATTCTAAGACAACAAGATTTGAATGGGGTTTCACACATCCTCCAACAAACAATGAACAGGATAACAGATAACACACAGCATCATCCTCTGTGAAGGATTAAACTGTTCTCTGAGAGGTGCTTCTACCTTAATTATGTAGACCTACCTCCTTTGAGCTGAAACCATAATATAAATCAGCTGCCTCCATCAGGTAGTCTCTCAAAAGCATCTCCTGCTCTGTTGAGAACACCTTTGGTGTCCATAGCCTACTCTTGGGGGTGTTTGTGATCCCTGACTCTCCAACCTCAGCCTCTTTGTATGGAACCGGTACAGGGTGACATGGCATATATCCAGGGACTTTGACACTTCCCTGAATGATTTGCCCTTCTCAACTTCATTTGAGGCCCTCTGCAGCAGAGCAAGTGGCACTCCCCTGTCTGTCTTCCTCTTTCTGACATTTGGCATACTGTAAACCAGGGGTGGGGAACCTTTTTCCTATCAAGGGCCATTTCAATTTTTACAATATCCTCAGAGGGCCATACAAATTATTGACCTCTGCTTAAAAAAACTAAAATCACAGCCCATTCATTTCATTCTGTGCAAAGAAAACCTCTGAATCCAGATATCTCACCATGACTCGCGTATGCACGTGCACGGTGTGGCGTGACCACCAAAACAGAAAGATTGGACACAAGATGTGTGCAAATGTATTTAGTTTCCTATCCATGTGAACATGATTTAAGTGGGGGGGGACCTAACCTCCTCTAGGGGGGTCCGGGGGGCATGCTCCCCCGGGAAGATTTTGTTTAAATGTTGAAGTTAAAAGCATCAATCTGGTGCACTTTAAGAGCAAAATTAGGAGATCTATGGAAACATCTCTCAACACCCAGATGAAACAGAACTGGAAGCAGATTTATTTTTCTTTATGAATATTTTACAAATCACTCTCCTTTCAAACTGTATTCTTCTTTATTAATAACAACTTTTTTTTACTGTCATAGTATTTTATACCTGTTTACTTTATTCTCTTATTTTTTTATAACTATAATGATCATATAAAGATGTGCCTTTACCTCACTGGTTGTAGAAAAAGCTTCTTATATTCGTTAGCATAGCAAGCTAACCAGATGCTAATAACTACAAAGTTATTGACTGTATGATCAGTATGACAGATGAGCAGATCGCCACTGGGCTTTCAACTAAAGACACAGACACGCAGAAACTGCGGCATGTGTAAGGCTCCTTATCGGTACTGCAATTTCTGAAGTGCCGGAGCGGCGTTCTGGTGCTCTCCGTCAGAACTGCACCCCTGTCAGACGAGACATATACCACGTGATGACACGTTAGGCTCGTGTTGTGTTCAAGGACCCTGACCTTGGCCAGGAAAAACAGGCACTCGCTTGTTTAATTTTTTTGCGGTCTAGATTTCTTACATTTTTTTATTTTTTGCGTGTGTTTATAAATTACCTCGAGGGCCGTACCAAATTGTCTCGCGGGCCGTATCCGGCCCGGAGGCCGGAGGTTCCCCACCCCTGCTGTAAACACACACACACACACACACACACACACACACACACACACACACACACACACACACACACACACACACACACACACACACACATACACACACTTAAGGTCTACTGTGCAGTGCTGGAATTGGGCCGGTACTCACCGGTACGCAGTACCGGCACTTCTGGTTCTGACCCATGGAGTACCGGCACTTCTTGCTCAGTACCGGCATGCTGGCGGTACTCCGGTACTCATGCACCGTGCCAGTACTCAACACTCTCCCGCCGTTCTTATTATACATCCATATATATATATACAGCCGCCCGGTACTCAGTAGATGCGTCATGAGGTGCCGAACGGACATTCTCATCGCTCTAACCGCTGGAGTTTCACAGCGGCTGTCAGCTGTTTACTCCTGTCATTCAAACAGAACGTGCTGGAGAGGGGGCGGGGCTTATCTTCTCCATGTAAATACTGTGGTGGAAACGACTATGTCAAAATTAACCTATTTGACCGTGATTTAATAGTAATACACGTTTCAAAATAATAATAATAATAATAATGCCGAAGTAACAACATACGGAAAACTGTTAGTAAAACCATGTTTTAATGCTTTACAATTTACATACCTAGATGCACGTGTGTTGTGTTTATGCAGTGCAACTCCCACCCAGTGGGTGGCTATGTAGAGTGATAGAACAGAGCAGGCACGCCCCCGAGAGAAGGAAAGCAAGTCACGTCACAAATTAGCATTTCTAAAATGTTAGCGTGGATTAATAAAAGTGCAAAAAGACAGCGGTTGTCGCCGGAAGAAACTTCAAATACAGAGAATGCTGTGCCTGTGTTGGAAATTGTGTCTGATGGGGAGCTTTCTTTGGTTGATCCTCCTGCTCCAAGTTCTAGTGCATTAGCATTAGCACTAGCTCCGCCGCCTCCTCCAGAGCCTCTAACGTTAGCTGCTGCTGGCGCAACTGCCACCACCAACACCGGGCAAAGCGATGCACCTGACTGCTGGACAACGGACCAGGTGCAATATTTTTGCAAGACCAATGCATGGCTCCTTCTTAAAGATAAGAAGCTAGGATGTCGGATATGCAGAGATGTCAAATCTTTGGGAATACACACTGGACAAGGACTGAAACTGTCAACTGAATGGGGTGAGTGTGCAGTGTCTCATTTCGGTGTTGACAAGGGCAAACAACAAGCTAGCCTGAGAAAAAAAATCAAAGAACATAAAGAATCACAAGCCCATGTAAAAGCTGCTGACATCCTTACATCTGCTTCACGTGAAACTATTCAACATCAAGTGCAGTCTATGAATAATCTGAATTAGACACCACTATCAGAGTTTTTCGAACGGCATATAAAATTGGCAAACATAGCCGGCCATTCACAGACATGCCAATTGATTTGAATGTACAGAAACTGAATGGGCTGAACGTGGGCAGGGTTTTGCACTCCAATAAAACCTGTGGCGAAATCATCGACCACATAGCTCATGAGCTGAAGAAAAAAATGGCAAAAGACATTACAGAAAACCAAAGAAACTCTGTGTTTTGGTCGATGAATCTACCACTATTAGTGGTAAAACGGTGCTTGTTGTGTGTCTACGCTCAGCATTAGCTGATGCTGAGCCCGAAACGTTTTTTTGGGAGCTGATCGAGTTGGATGGAACAACGGCTGATGACATCACAAAGGCGTTAATGGAGTGTCTTGGAAGAGATTTTAACGAGGACTTTTTAGGTCAGTGTTTCGTTTCTTTTGCATGTGATGGGGCTTCAGTCATGCTAGGGAAGAGAACAGGCGTTGCTACCCAGTTGTGTAGTAAATTCCCAAGCCTGTTTGTGTGGCACTGCTCCAATCATCGTCTAGAGCTGGCAGTTGGGGATGTGGTCAAGGAGGTCTCAGGGCTCAATCATTTCCAGATATTTTTTGACAAACTCTATTCCTTGTTCCATGCCTCCCCCAAAAATCAGAGGCAGTTAGCGCAGTGTGCGCAAGCAGTCGGACAGCGTCTCCTGGTGATAGGGCGTGTTTTGTCCATCCGCTGGGTGGCTTCAAGTGAAAGGAGCGTCAGAGCAGTCTGGGAAAACTACCGAGTGCTTCATGATCACTTCACAAATGCTGCAAACGACACGAGCAGGGATTCCAGAGACAGAGCAAAGTACAAGGGCCTGGATGATGTGCTCACATCTGCAACGTTTGTCAGCAATCTGGGACTGATGTACGATGCGCTCACAGAGCTCAGCGACCTCTCTCGGCAACTCCAAAAAAGAGAGATGACACTGCCTACAGCAGATAGGCTCTTAACTCGAGAAATACGAGTTTTTGAATCCATGGTCACCATGCCTGGCCCACACATGACTACAGTTCATACAGCTCTAGCTGAGAAGTCCTTCAAGGGTGTTGCCCTGCGTGAGAATGGCAGGCTTGTACAGATTCATGCAGGTCAGTTTTTCCGCAGTATGGTAGAGAATCTGAGACACAGAATGACTTCCACAACCTCCTCTCATGTCAGCACAAGAGAAATCCCATTACATGGCCGGGAGGCCCGGGACAATCAGCTAATCCAGGACATGAAAGTTATCCATCCTGGAAGTTGGCCTGAAGAGGAGTTAGACGTACAGTATGGGGACGTAGAGGTGCTACGTTTGTGCGAAGTGCTGAAAGTGGACAGAAGAGAGACTGTTCAGGGCTTTCGCGAATACAAGGAAACCAGGGCATCCCGTACACCTGCTGCCATGGAGCCTCTACTGAAAGCAGTCCGAACCATCGCTGTCTCCACTAGTGAGTGTGAGCGGGCATTCAGCTGCATGAACGATATCCTTACTGCAAAAAGGAATGCTCTCTCTGTCAGCCGACTGTCCAGCCTGGTTTTCATTAAATGTAATGGACCATCACTAGGACAGTTCAATCCGGAACAGTATGTGAGGTCCTGGCTGGCAAAGGGAAGGAGAAGTGCTGATGAAAGAGCCTGTCCAGCTCCAGCCCCTGATACTGATGTCCCCAAGGCCTTCTGGAGCCTTTTCTAACAATGTGAAGTATATTGCAAAGCAGCTCACCCAGTGAGAAGACTTTTGGCATAATGTGCCGATTTGTACAGATCCTGGAGATAGAAGGACTTCAGACCAACCAGGGAGTTATCTGATCAGCTTGGTGTTCAATGTAACTCTTTACCATGGCTCAGACTTTGTTACTTGCAGTTACAGTTTCTCATTTTAGATTGTGCAAATTTTGCATTTGTTTTTACATGTTCTTTGTTCATGCTCTTTATCATTTTTCTGAGTTGGAAAGTTAGATTGCATCATAGTTTACTTTATACATATTTGTATTCTTCAGTGGTGAAGTATATTGCAAAGCAGCTCAGCCATGTGAGAAGACTTTTGGCACTTTTTCGTTTTTCGTTTTCTGAGTTGGAAAGTTAGATTGCATTCAAAATGTACAGAAATACTTAATTTTGTTAAAGCTTTTTATAAAAAATGCTTCTGACCAGAGCTTTGTTTCCTTGTCATTAATGTTGAACACCACCAGAGGGGCTCTCACCTGAAAGGTCTCTGCTTCATGTGTCTTCAGCAGAAGATCTAGACTTTGATTGCTATATTTTCAGTTAATATTGACCTTACTGAGCTTTAGCCATATCCGCTGCCTATCATAAAAAATGTTAAGTACAGTGAACCTTTCTAAAATATACAGTAGTAAAGAGACAAACCCACCAGCATTATAGTAGCCAAATTCTTGTTTGTGGGCTGTATATATAAAATTGACTTGAAAAAGTTGCTGATTTTAGAGTACTGGCACCTTTTTCATTCCAATTCAAGCACTGCTGTACAGTATGTTATTCTGTTTATTTTTACAGGGACAATGCACACCAACCAACAATACAACTGTATGCTTGAATGAACAATTGATCATTCAAGCAAATGAGCCATCATTGTAAATGTGCCATGTTACAACCGTCCCGTTACAACCGTCCCAGGACCACCAGTCTTGCTTCCACCCCCTGTGAACCTGCCTGGTTGCTAGCTTGACCCATATTTAGCTAGTTATATTTGTAGCTTACAAAACAGTGATTCTAATAATACTAGTTTGGATTCCTAGACATTTGAACTCAAGACAGTATCCAAAAAATACATCATATAATTTTAGTTAATATTTTACCTCAGAAACACACTTTTGCTGATATCTTACGCGAGAAATTCAAACATGGCTCTTTTTTTTCTCAGCGATCTTACCATCTAACTGCGCATGTGCAGGGTGAGTTTCATCACTCTAGCTTGTTTGTGATTGGAGATATTGAAGGTGTTACAACCGACCCGTGTTACAACTGTCCCTGGTCTCCCTAATGATTATTTATATTACTCTTGTAAATAAATTACCCTCCCACTCAGGGCTTTTTGGAGTAGATCACATCATGACCTACTACAAAAACCTAGGGGTACGCAAAGATGATTTCAGTCTAGCAAGGGTAACAACAGCAGAGGTACTCATTAAACTGAGCGCCCTCCAACCTAACAAGGCCACTGGCCACGACAATATCCCCTCCAAATTCCTCAGAGACACAGCAACCGCCATCTTACCAGTCATAGCTCACATAATTAACCTCTCCATAAAACAGGGAAAAGTACCCAAAGACTTCAAAATGGCAAGAGTAACCCCCCCTGCACAAAAAGGGCAGCAAATTGGACCCAGGCAACTTCCGCCCTGTCTCTATACTTACCTCCATCTCGAAAGTCATGGAAAAAATAGTATATGAACAGGTCGAAAAGTACCTCGCGGAAAATAAACTAATCTATGAATTTCAATCTGGCTTTAGAACATCCCACTCCACTGACACATGCCTTCTTTATTTGAGCGACCACATCAAACAAGAGGTGGACGAGGGCAAGTACTGCGGCATGGTGATGCTGGACCTACAAAAGGCTTTCGACACTGTCAATCACCCCATTCTGATTGACAAGCTAAAAGCAATTGGTTTTGATAAACTATCGGTGAGCTGGATGCAATCCTACCTGGAGGGGAGAGAACAGATGGTGGAGGTAAACGATACTCTGTCCCCCCCCCCTCCCAGTGAGCTGTGGTGTTCCACAAGGAAGCATATTAGGTCCGTTACTGTTCCTAATTTATGTAAATGACATGTCATCAGCATGTGACTGCAACTTGTTCCTGTTCGCGGACGACTCAGCCCTGCTGGTCTCTGACAGGAACAGGTTGCAGGTTGAAAAAACCCTCAGCTCCGAGCTCGGCAGAATCTGCACCTGGCTCGCCGATAATAAATTATCATTACACCTGGGTAAAACAGAGTCAATTTTCTTCGGTTCGAAACATAATCTCAGCAAATCCGACGACTTCTCAGTTGCAGTGGGCGACATTATTGTCATAAGTAAGAAGGAAATTACATACCTAGGATCTATTCTTGAGGCAAACCTCTCCTGTGACAAAATGGCATCCAATGTAATAAAAAAAGTCAATCAAAGAACTAGATTCCTATACCGGATCTCCTCTCTGGTAAACAAAAACACCCTGAAAACTCTGGCAGGAGCACTCATTCAAGGGTACTATGACTATGCTTGCACGTCATGGTACCATAGCACCTCCAAGGCGCTAAAAATAAAACTTCAAACATCGCAAAATAAACTGGTTAGACTACTGCTTGACCTTTCATCTAGAACCCACCTCACCTCTGCCCACTTTGACAACCTAGGATGGCTTAGAGTAGACGACAGAGTACAGCTACTTGCAATGGGCCTGGTCTACAAGATCCACTACACCTCTATGGTACCCATGTACATGTCAAAATTCTTCCCAAAGGTCAAGGAATACCATGATCATAACACCAGAGGGAGCTCCACAAATCATGTGAAACCCAGATTTGGCACAAAAAAGGGGGAATACACGTTTCGCAATTATGCCACATCAAGGTGGAACGCTCTTCCCACAACTGTAAAGGAAAGTAAAACTATACTTACCTTCAAAACCTCTCTTAAAGAGCACCTTCGGGGGAGAGCATTGCAAAACTAGCCCCGGTAATGGTACAAATCTCAACCTGTCGTTCAATGGACAGCTTCCCCCCCCCATCTATGTATATACTCGCATTTTAGACTCTGTTACTAACTGTATATATATATCTGTAGACTTGGTATGTCTTAAATGTCCGGTTAGGATGTATTAGAACGAAATCTAAAATGAAAATTGTAAATAAGCAATCTGTATGTAAAAAACCACCTGTATGTAAATTGTAAATAAGCCATCTGTATGTCAAATATGTCTTATATGTCTTAAATGACATGATGAATTGGAAATGGGGGACCCTGATGTAAACAAGACGAAAGTCTTTCTCTGGTCTGCATCCCCTTAACAATTGTATGTTTTGAGCTGTACTGTACTGTACCCAATATACAAGCTGTTAATAAACTTTTCAATCAATCAATCAATCAATCAATATGAATCTGTAAAGTAACAAGAAACGTATCAAAAGTTATCAAATAAATGTAGTGCAGTAAAGAGTGCCATATTTGCCACTGAATTGTAATGCACCATATTATTGGAGAAATTAAAATGTGCATCTTGCAATTTAGAGACTTATTTCAACAATGTTTTTACTACCTTTGGTCTTAGAAAACAAAGCTTTTATTTTGAAATGGATATGATCGAACCGGAACTAGTTCATGCTGCCAGCACTTAAGCGCCAACTTGACAGCAGTCGTATTAAATTGTTTTCTCAACAAAAACCCTAAACATCGGTTTGGTTGGCCCGTGAACACAGCCGAGTGTCCCTCCATCATGTCCGGCCTCCAGCTGTTCAGAGAGCTGGTTACCGAGCGGCTGTCGGCGGCCGCTGAGGAGATTTTCGCGGCATTCAAAAACACCCTCGCGGGCTACGAAGAGGAGATCCTGCTCTCCAAACGGGAGATCCACCGGCAGCGCGCGGAGCTGCAAACACTTAACAAAATAAAGATTAAAAAACGTTCAGGTTTGTGAGTAATTAATTAGCATTAATTTGTTCTGGCTCTGCTTTTGACTACGCACTTAGCTGCTATCATCACGAGCCTCGTGAACACCCAGTTTCCTGCTGAAAAGGAAGTTCTTCAGTAAAGTTTTGCTAGCTTAACTTATGTCCTCTTGTGAATGCTGAAGTTTCCCATGTCATATTAGCAAGGCCTTTCCAGTGTAAGATGATACCTGCCAAAGTTAAACAAAATAAACTTGTATTGCACCTAATCATTCTCAATGGTAACTTAGTTTGCCTAAAAACGATGATAACAATAATACCAGAACACATTTAATACACAGAGCAGGACATATCTAATAGCAACTCAATTAATTAAAATACACATGAGCACAACAAACAACATGTAGTAAAACATAAATAAAAGCACATGGAAGCAATTCTCTTTGGCAGTTCAAATCTAACACAAAAATTGTTGTAATACTTAAAAATGGTTCGGCTTTTTGAAAGCAAATAAACCTGCAAGATTCTTTCTGTTCTGAGATATTTGATTTTCTTTATATAGCAGAACCGTAATGGTTAGTGGCTTTGGATAAAAGTGTAATCTAAATGTAATAGTGGATGTAAAATAGATTTGAAAAAAGTCCGAGTTTGCAGCCCTGATCTCCGTTCGGCAGATCTTTATAATAGCTTTCCTTTTTTTTTTTCAGACCAACCACAGCTGGCTCTCTCAGAGGACTTCCCTTCTGACCAGCACCAAGAAGAACACTGTGAGCAGGAGTGGAGCTCCGCACTGGACCAGGAGCCTCCACAAACTGAGAAAAGCCAGGAGGATGAGGCGGAGGAGGAGGACACCATCAAGGTCATCTTCACTCCTCCGTGTGTGAATAATGAGCTGGACCAGGATAAAGCAGATCCTCTCCCGAGCACTTCCACGGTGGAGGCGGAGACTGAAGTTGAAGGCAGAGCGTACTCCGGCTTTTCTGCGGTGGAGAAAGACAACAGCACTGAGGAGTGGGCGGGCAGCGGGGGGTCTCAGAGCGAAGACAGCGACGAGGACTGGAGGAAAAGGAAGGCGCCTCGTCCGATGGTGCTGAAACTGCACCCAGGTAAAAAAGCAAAATCGCAAATTTGCTGTAAAGTCTGCGGGAAGGCGTTCCATGCTAACATCTCGTTGGTGAACCACCTGAAGGTGCACCCGAAGGAGGTCTGCGGCGTGTGCGGGGAGCGCTTCGAGAGTGAGGAGAGTTTTCGAGATCACCTGACATCGCACGTGAAAGCGGAAGTCTGCGGCGTTTGTGGGAAATGTTTCGGCTCCTCCAGCTCTTTGCAGACGCACATGAGGGTCCACACGGGGGAGAAACCGTTTAACTGCAGCGAGTGTGGGAAATCCTTCAACTGCCGCCAAAACATGATGCGACACATCCGGATACACACTGGGGAGAAACCCTATCCTTGCACTGTGTGCGGGAAATGTTTTAATGACGACTCCACGTTGAAACACCACCTGCTGGTTCACGTGCACAAGAAGAAACGGAACCCAAATAACGAAAGTGAAAATGGTAAAGACAGTGAGGATGAGAAGACGTTGACGTTACCAAAAAAGCAGCAGACTCGGACAATATGTGAAGTGTGTGGTGAAAAGTTTCGCTCCATGATTTCTCTGGTGAATCACGCTAAAAGTCACGCCACGGACCTCTGCGGTGTTTGTGGGACGCACTTCGACTCTGAGGCAAACTTAAAACTTCACATGAAAACTCATAAAAGCGGGAAGGTGTGCGAGGTGTGCTTGAAGTGTTTCGACGGTCAGAAAAACCTGGAGATCCACATGAGGACCCACACAGGGGAGAAGCCGTTTCTCTGCAGCGAGTGCGGAAAATCCTTCAACTGCCGCCACAATATGATAAGACACACCCGGATTCACACGGGGGAGAAACCTTACATGTGCAACATCTGCAGCCGCTGCTTCAGCGACCACTCCGTGCAGAAGCAGCACAGCAGCACGCACACAGGGGAGAAACCGCACCGCTGTGAGATCTGCGGGAAAAGTTTCCACCGTAAGACGAACCTGAGGCTGCACATGAAGAGCCACAAGACTGAGAAGTGACTGATAAATACTGTAAGGTGGTGTGTAGCAGAGTCCTGCCCGGGTCTCATTTTCAAGATCTGCCCCTGTACCGCAACGTTCAATGGAGTGGTGCTGGGATGACGTATTTGTGTAGGTTGACCCTGAAGTTAGCATCTCCCTGGTTCCCTCAACCAAAAGCCAATGGGATTTCTTTATTGGATTTTGCATTATTGCGGTAAGACAGAAGTTGACCTGATAGATATTTAGTTTTACTATAAGTATTATCCAACACCCACAATCCTACCAGCATTTTCCTTTTTTTCCTCAGACCTGCAACCAGAAATACAATTATACAAAATATTTTTGTGAAGCTGAAAACATCATGTTGGGACATATTTGTGAAATGCACTTGAAATGATTCCTTGGTTTATTTGGACAGCAGAAGGAGTCTCACTCAGCCTGCCTCCGTTTTACAACCTCGGTTTCTTTCATTTCTACAAACTAAAGGTGGCACTGAACCACATTAGCTCTTTTGATAAGCAGGTGCATGAGCACAATTAAAACCTGAGCTCATATAATTGTGCAGTGTTCCCACATGCCAAACCAGTTTCCTCCGCTTACATCTGCAGATGCCACCTTCAATTCCAGTGTCATTGTGCTGCTGGCAGGCACTGCTGTGATGACCACACCCAAAATGTAACACACAATGCAATGAAAACTTTAAAAAATGCAAGAGGTGAAACGAAAGTTAAATGCACCTTTTTATAAAGTTTCCTCCCAAAGCTTGAAGGTGCTTATATCTTTGTTTTTTAGTGCATTTACATTCAAATACAGTACAGTTTATCAATACAAGAAGATTAAGTGAAAAGCAATAGATTATTTCTCAGAAGTGAAGTTTATTTTAAGCCTGTTATATGCTACAATTCCTTTATTAATTTTTAGAACAAATTGCCTGAGGATATTACTCTTGACAAAATCAGTTCATACTTCTATAACCATTAAGTGAATCATTCTACGCACATTTAGGATCTGTAAAATCTGTTATTAATTGCATTTTTGTTTATACTTTTCTTTACTGGGTGTTGCATATAGTTGTGTATGTAAAGCAATTTGTTAATATTGGTTTAAAAAAACAACTACTACTGTGTCATAAGGTAATATGTTTCATAGATTTCTATACAATCGGACTGCTCAAAGTACAGGGACCTTTGGATGGGGCTACATGTGAGCCCCATGTGATACATGAGCTGTATCCCATTTATTTTGTATGTTTAAATATTTTTGATACAAAGTAAATTACTTTTACATTTTGTAACTGTTTCATTGTTACACGGACAAATAAATGGTTCATATTAAATCTGAGTTTGTGTCTGGTTATGGGAGTTTTGTTTTATTTTTAGATATCTGTGTTCAAATAGTTCCATACAAACATTTACCGGTAAGTTGTGCAAACCTAGAAAGATATTTGATATTCTCATATGAGATATAAGCTCACATACATAGGATTTTTTATTTATATCTTACTAGAAATAAACTCAGAAATATTTGTTACTACCAAGAATACAATTCAAACAAAAATACCAGCTGCAAATCCTCATTTTGTGTGTGATTGTGAGACAAACAGGGTTTTATCAATTTTTATATTTATTATTTTTTCAGACAACGTTAGTTGGGATGTAACTAAAAACTTTAATAAATAATGTATACACCTTTTTTACCGCCATTTCATCATGTGTTAAAGATCACCTATGTATTCTACAAAATCAAACTAACCAAGGTAACACCCGTCCACCTCATCACCTGAATCTCCTCCTAGACCACCATTGTGTTTTTTCAAACCAATCATCTCACAGAGGAGCATGGCCAGCAGCAACTCATTAGCATTTAAAGATACAGCCGCAGAATCATCACTTTTGGAACAGGGCTGAAACAGAGGAGTTTATGGGATGTTACAATAGACGATCTGTTTGGTATTTCAAGCCAAACACTTCAGAAACATGTTTTGTATATATCTGAGATCTATAATATATTGTTGAAAAAGACACTTAGTTAAATCAAAGTTGGAAAATAAAATAATGCATTTTTAAAGCTGTAGTAATATTTAGTTTGGCCACTTGGGGTCAGCATAATAAACCATAAACGAGATTAATAATCACTTGTTAGATATTCACTTTGTTGATGTAAAATAAAAAAAGACAGGAAATCCAAAATGTTGTGACGCTGAAAACATGTTGGGACATATTTGTGGAATGCACTAGAAATGCTTCCTGTGTTTATTTGGACAGCAGAAGGAGGCTCACTCAGCCTGCCTCCGTTTTACAACCTTGGTTTCTTTAATTTCTACAAAATGTAGTTTAACTTTCATTTAAACTGGACCACAGTAGCTCTTTTGATGAGCAGGTGTATAAGCACAATGAAAACCTGAGCTCATATAATTGTGGTTCTGGAGAATGTTGCCACATGCCAAACCAGTTTCCTATTCTTTGTTTTTACTGTTATGGAACTTATCTGCCCCGGACATGAGTGTCAAATCATCCTGTGTTAAAAGAGACCATGGAAAGTCCCTTAACTCCCGCGCCTACATCTGCAGATACCGCCTTAAATTCCCACGTCATTGGCAGGCACTGCTGTGTGGACCACACCCAAAATGTAAAACATAATTCAAATCAAACTTTAAAAAAGTGCAAGAGGTGAAACGAAAGTGAAATTTAAATGCACTTTTATGAAGTTTCCTCCCAAAGCTTGAAGGTGGTTATAAAAGGCAGAGTGAGCTCACAGCCTTCACTCTTGGTGGAACAAAGGGAAGATACGTGAACACACTCTTTGTTTTTTGGTACATTTACATTAAAATACAGTAAAGTTTATCAAAACAAGAAGATTAAGTGAGAAGCAGTAGATTATTTGTCAGAAGGTAAGTTTATTTTAAGCCTGTCATTATGCTACAATTCCTTGTTAATTTTGGAACAAATTGCCTGAGGATATTACTCTTGCTAAATGAGTTTATACTTCTGCAACCATTAAGTGAATCATTCTACGCACATTTAGGATCTGTACAATCTGTTATTAATTGCATTTTTGTTTATACTTTTTTTTTACTGGGTGTTGCATATAGTTGTATTGTATGTAAAGCAATTTGTTAATATTGGTTTAAAAAAACAACTACTACTGTGTCATAAGGTAATATGTTTCATAGATTTCTATACGATCTGACTTTGTACTTTTTCTAAGAGAGGTGTTGCCCCATGGGTGATATTAGAAAGAATGCAATCACTTTTTCAGACTCTTCCGGGGCTTAAAATGTGTTGTTTAATGATTTCTTAACGTCTTGTTTAGTTTCTGTTTTAAATCATTTTGCAATGATGTTTAGTTTTGCCATATGGGATCCTTCTGAAGTCGCTAATATTCCTCTTTCCTGCAGTGATACTGACACCAACATGCAGTACAGCTGGGCTGAAGATGACTTTGATGTGCCGACTGGGGTTGGCCGACTTGGGCTCTCTGCGCCAGGTGATAATGGAAAGTATGTCATGTACCATGGCACTACCAAGGCCATTGCTCAATCAATCCAGGCGACAGGTTTTCGCCAGTCTACAGGCGGGATGCTCGGCCGCGGCGTCTACCTCAGCAGAGACCTGCTGAAAGCTAGCCGTTATCCCATTGGTTACCCAGAGCATGACAAGGCTGTCATTAAGTGTTTGGTCAAAGTAGGGAAAGTGATCAAGATCGATGACAAACGCCATCCAAAGCGGATGACCTGGCACGACCACGGCTTCGACACCGCCTGGGTGCCCCCCAACTGTGGGATGGTGAAGAGTGGTTTGGAGGAGGATTGTGTCTGGGATCCTTCTCGAATTACAATCAGTAAAATCATCGACCCCAAACCAGTACCAACCGGTGCACGTGGCTACATGTGAGCCCTATGAGCTGTAACCCATGTATTTGTTATGTTTAAAACTTTTGATACAAAGTAAATGACTTTAGCATTTTGTAACTGTCATTGTTACATGGAAAAATAAATGGTTCATATTAAATCTGAGTTTGGTTTAGATTTATATTGAGATATATGTAACATTTACCGGTAAGTTGTGCAAACCAAGAAAGATATTTGATATTCTCATGAGATATAAGCTCACATGCATTGGGTTTTTTATTTATATCTTACTAGCAATAAACTTAGAAATATGTATTACTAGGGACAAAATACAGTGTCTTGTCTAGAAAATGGCAGATGGCTATTGTAAAAGAGAAGAGTGTAAAAATTAGTCATTATTATTTATTATTTTTCTTGTTGTGACGCTGAAAACATGTTGGGACATATTTGTGGAATGCACTTGAAATGCTTCCTGTGATTATTTGGACAGCAGAAGGAGGCTCACTCAGCCTGCCTCCGTTTTACAACCTTGGTTTCTTTAATTTCTACAAAATGTAGTTTAACTTTCATTTAAACTGGACCACAGTAGCTCTTTTGATGAGCAGGTGTATAAGCACAATGAAAACCTGAGCTCATATAATTGTGGTTCTGGAGAATGTTGCCACATGCCAAACCAGTTTCCTATTCTTTGTTTTTACTGTTATGGAACTTATCTGCCCCGGACATGAGTGTCAAATCATCCTGTGTTAAAAGAGACCATGGAAAGTCCCTTAACTCCCGCGCCTACATCTGCAGATACCGCCTTAAATTCCCACGTCATTGGCAGGCACTGCTGTGTGGACCACACCCAAAATGTAAAACATAATTCAAATCAAACTTTAAAAAAGTGCAAGAGGTGAAACGAAAGTGAAATTTAAATGCACTTTTATGAAGTTTCCTCCCAAAGCTTGAAGGTGGTTATAAAAGGCAGAGTGAGCTCACAGCCTTCACTCTTGGTGGAACAAAGGGAAGATACGTGAACACACTCTTTGTTTTTTGGTACATTTACATTAAAATACAGTAAAGTTTATCAAAACAAGAAGATTAAGTGAGAAGCAGTAGATTATTTGTCAGAAGGTAAGTTTATTTTAAGCCTGTCATTATGCTACAATTCCTTGTTAATTTTGGAACAAATTGCCTGAGGATATTACTCTTGCTAAATGAGTTTATACTTCTGCAACCATTAAGTGAATCATTCTACGCACATTTAGGATCTGTACAATCTGTTATTAATTGCATTTTTGTTTATACTTTTTTTTTACTGGGTGTTGCATATAGTTGTATTGTATGTAAAGCAATTTGTTAATATTGGTTTAAAAAAACAACTACTACTGTGTCATAAGGTAATATGTTTCATAGATTTCTATACGATCTGACTTTGTACTTTTTCTAAGAGAGGTGTTGCCCCATGGGTGATATTAGAAAGAATGCAATCACTTTTTCAGACTCTTCCGGGGCTTAAAATGTGTTGTTTAATGATTTCTTAACGTCTTGTTTAGTTTCTGTTTTAAATCATTTTGCAATGATGTTTAGTTTTGCCATATGGGATCCTTCTGAAGTCGCTAATATTCCTCTTTCCTGCAGTGATACTGACACCAACATGCAGTACAGCTGGGCTGAAGATGACTTTGATGTGCCGACTGGGGTTGGCCGACTTGGGCTCTCTGCGCCAGGTGATAATGGAAAGTATGTCATGTACCATGGCACTACCAAGGCCATTGCTCAATCAATCCAGGCGACAGGTTTTCGCCAGTCTACAGGCGGGATGCTCGGCCGCGGCGTCTACCTCAGCAGAGACCTGCTGAAAGCTAGCCGTTATCCCATTGGTCACCCAGAGCATGACAAGGCTGTCATTAAGTGTTTGGTCAAAGTAGGGAAAGTGATCAAGATCGATGACAAACACCATCCAAAGCGGATGACCTGGCACGACCACGGCTTCGACACCGCCTGGGTGCCCCCCAACTGTGGGATGGTGAAGAGTGGTTTGGAGGAGGATTGTGTCTGGGATCCTTCTCGAATTACAATCAGTAAAATCATCGACCCCAAACCAGTACCAACCGGTGCACGTGGCTACATGTGAGCCCTATGAGCTGTAACCCATGTATTTGTTATGTTTAAAACTTTTGATACAAAGTAAATGACTTTAGCATTTTGTAACTGTCATTGTTACATGGAAAAATAAATGGTTCATATTAAATCTGAGTTTGGTTTAGATTTATATTGAGATATATGTAACATTTACCGGTAAGTTGTGCAAACCAAGAAAGATATTTGATATTCTCATGAGATATAAGCTCACATGCATTGGGTTTTTTATTTATATCTTACTAGCAATAAACTTAGAAATATGTATTACTAGGGACAAAATACAGTGTCTTGTCTAGAAAATGGCAGATGGCTATTGTAAAAGAGAAGAGTGTAAAAATTAGTCATTATTATTTATTATTTTTCTTGTTGTGACGCTGAAAACATGTTGGGACATATTTGTGGAATGCACTTGAAATGCTTCCTGTGATTATTTGGACAGCAGAAGGAGGCTCACTCAGCCTGCCTCCGTTTTACAACCTTGGTTTCTTTAATTTCTACAAAATGTAGTTTAACTTTCATTTAAACTGGACCACAGTAGCTCTTTTGATGAGCAGGTGTATAAGCACAATGAAAACCTGAGCTCATATAATTGTGGTTCTGGAGAATGTTGCCACATGCCAAACCAGTTTCCTATTCTTTGTTTTTACTGTTATGGAACTTATCTGCCCCGGACATGAGTGTCAAATCATCCTGTGTTAAAAGAGACCATGGAAAGTCCCTTAACTCCCGCGCATACATCTGCAGATACCGCCTTAAATTCCCACGTCATTGGCAGGCACTGCTGTGTGGACCACACCCACAATGTAAAACATCATTGAAATCAAACTTTGAAAAAGTGCAAGTGGTAAAATGAAAGTTAAATTTAAATGCACTTTTATGAAGTTTCCTCCGAAAACTTGAAGGTGGTTATAAAAGGCAGAGTGAGCTCACAGCCTTCACTCTTGGTGGAACAAAGGGAAGGTACGTGAACACACTCTTTGTTTTTTGGTACATTTACATTAAAATACAGTAAAGTTTATCAAAACAAGAAGATTAAGTGAGAAGCAGTAGATTATTTGTCAGAAGGTAAGTTTATTTTAAGCCTGTCATTATGCTACAATTCCTTGTTAATTTTGGAACAAATTGCCTGAGGATATTACTCTTGCTAAATGAGTTTATACTTCTGCAACCATTAAGTGAATCATTCTACGCACATTTAGGATCTGTAAATCTGTTATTAATTGCATTTTTGTTTATACTTTTTTTTACTGGGTGTTGCATATGAGTTGTAGGCCTATTGTATGTAAAGCAATTTGTTAATATTGGTTTAAAAAAATAACTACCACTGTGTCATAAGTTAATGTAACTGTGAAGCTGACAATTGAGCGGCCAGACCAAGCAAGGAGGCAGAGGCAGAACGTCCAAAATACAACCCGGTGTGGGCATTTATTAAGTCAGGAACACATGACACACAGCCTCAATCCTGCTGTTTCTCCCTGACCACAGCCTGCAGCCACAAGGATCTAATGCCCAACCCAATCAACCCAACAGGACACAGGTGAGGGGGGAGGAGACACCACAGAGCACCAGGTGCACACAATCAATGGCAACAGACATGGGGAAAGGGGAACACATTTCAAAATAAAATACATTAAACACTACATCAATAAATAATATAAACTGTATAAACATGTGCACATATGCAAGGCCCGAAGCCATCAGTGACAAAGTTACCTTCGTCACAGTAACATTATGCTGTCTGTGGCTCTTTATCTGCTGTAACTATGTACATTTCCCCTCTGTGGGACTAATAAAGGTATTGTGATTCTGAATATGTTTCATAGATTTCTATACGATCAGACTTTGTACTTTTTGTAAGAGAGGTGTTGCCCCATGGGTGGTATTATAAAGAATGCAATCACTTTTTCAGACTCTTCCGGGGCTTAAAATGTGTTGTTTAATGATTTCTTAACGTCTTGTTTAGTTTCTGTTTTAAATCATTTTGCAATGATGTTTAGTTTTGCCATATGGAGTCCTTCTGAAGTCGCTAATATTCCTCTTTCCTGCAGTGATACTGACACCAACATGCAGTACAGCTGGGCTGAAGATGACTGAAATGCTGCCTGGGGTTGGCCGACTTGGGCTCTCTGCGCCAGGTGATAATGGAAAGTATGTCATGTACCATGGCACTACCAGGGCCATTGCTCAATCAATCCAGGCGACAGGTTTTCGCCAGTCTACAGGCGGGATGCTCGGCCGCGGCGTCTACCTCAGCAGAGACCTGCTGAAAGCTAGCCGTTATCCCATTGGTCACCCAGAGCATGACAAGGTCGTCATTAAGGTTGTGGTTAACGTAGGGAGAGTGATCGCCATTAATCACCAATACCATCCCCAGCGGAAGACCTGGCACGACCACGGCTTCGACACCGCCTGGGTGCCCCCCAACAGTGGGATGGTGAAGAGCGGTTTGGAGGAGGATTGTGTCTGGGATCCTTCTCAAATTACAATCAGTAAAATCATCAACCCCAAACCAGTCCAAACCTGGCTGACTACATGTGATACAAAGTGTAGCGGAAACTTCTGTGTAGCTATGCAGTGGGAGTCACCGACTCAGGAAGGAGACACGGGAAGAGCAGTAGCTTTGATGTCAAACACATGATGGTTTATTTGGAGTTAACGGCCGGAGGATTCACATCACAAGTCCAAGAGTCAGAGGTTCTGACTTCACGGTAGAGTTGCCACGTCAATTCTGGAGAGCCTCTCTCTTGCCAGCCCATCTAACTGGTTTCGCAGAGAGTAAACAACATATTTTGAGGAGATAGCCTAAACAGTGTGGGAACACAGAGCTACTTGCCTCGGACACCTATGACCTCGAAGATTTTACCTTGGAGTCCACAAATACAGAGAAGGAAGTGTCCCAGTGTACCCACAACACAGACCATCTGTATCCCAGTATTGACCGGTCACAGAATGGGAACAATAACATTATTGGCTAAGCCGCCTGTGTCCTTAAAGAAGGTAAACAGACATCAAGGTTTGTCCTGTATGTTACTAATTGGCGTCTTATGATAATTATTTCCACAACAGTCCTCTCTTTTTATCATTTATGATAACCTAAAAACATTAGTCTAATAATAATTTGGTCAATAATTAACTCAATAGGCGTCTCCAGATTCGAGTGTGGTCTCACCTTACATTAATTACATCACAAAGTAGAATAAGATTGAAACATTCAATCACAATGATTGATACAGCCAATCATAATAGAAAAAATCATCTCTCATCAGTGTTTGATCATCTTTTGTCAAAAGCATAATAATGAACACACATAAAACACAGGTGCACAATGGCTAAATATTTGTTTTTAAACTAATATATTTGATCATTTACCATTAGTTAATTTCATTCATCAAACTATCAAATCAAAACCAGCTTGCCGCTTTAAAGATTTACTTCAAGGCAATCACTAGTCAAAAGCATGTTAAAACTCAGGATCGTAAGAGATCCAGCTACAAATGTACAGTTAGAGTATAGAATTCACACTGGTGATTTGATCAATCTGTAATCTGCAAAAGTGCAGTGTCCTCAATTTTAGGATTACTTTTACGTTTACTTAAATACGCTTTAGTCAAGAGTAAGGCACTTAGTGAAATCAATACATTCATTTTAGTCAAGTACATTGTTCAAAATCTGAAAAGGAAAAGTTAGGCAAATATTCAAAGACTTTTGTAAAAACCTGGAAAGGAAGGATTAAACATTTTTAAACCTTGAATTATTACATTTGTAAATGCTACCACTGATCTGTACCAAATTAAGTCTATCAAGTATTCCTATTAGCCATACTTACCTGAGCTACTTATGGTACTTGGAAAGGATTCTTCTGTGTTTATCTAATGTTGAGAATATCTATTTCTTTAAATTATACTTCTCTAATTTGAGGATCAAATATGCTACATAATTGTTATATGAAATATTATAAATATTTGTTTTGGGCCAAAACTGAAATTAATCCAGTACTTGAAACATCATTGTGCATGGATAATACATTAAAGAGTAGTGTTGTTAAGCCTGATTGCTGGACTCAAATCCACTAGAGTGCATGTACCTATCCAGAGGGGAGCCAGAACTTGATAGAGCTTGTCGCCGCACAACCAAACGTAATCTTGTGGCGAGCTAAACCCCACATCACTGGGCCAGGCCAGTTGTATTGCTCACGGTTGCGTTGTCCCAGGCGAGCCGTCATCACGAGGTGGGAATGCTCCATGGGGTGTGTGTGTGTATTCCTTCGGTCGATTTTGTGACACGGACAGTCAGACTCCGCACACCGGTAACACAAACGAGGAACCAGAGGGCATATGGAACCGCTCAGCTGGCACTCGCTCGTGATACCTTGTGTGTAGTGTGTTTTGGTGTATGTAGTGCAAGTGTGGTGCAAGTTGGTGATTAGGACACATCACTTGTTGTCATCTACTTTTGTTGGTGATTAGGACACATCACTTGTTGTCATCTACTTTTGTTGGTGACCAGTGCTGGAATTGGGCCGGTACTCACCGGTACGCAGTACCGGCACTTCTGGTTCTGACCCATGGAGTACCGGCACTTCTTGCTCAGTACCGGCATGCTGGCGGTACTCCGGTACTCATGCACCGTGCCAGTACTCAACACTCTCCCGCCGTTCTTATTATACATCCATATATATATACAGCCGCCCGGTACTCAGTAGATGCGTCATGAGGTGCCGAACGGACATTCTCATCGCTCTAACCGCTGGAGTTTCACAGCGGCTGTCAGCTGTTTACTCCTGTCATTCAAACAGAACGTGCTGGAGAGGGGGCGGGGCTTATCTTCTCCATGTAAATACTGTGGTGGAAACGACTATGTCAAAATTAACCTATTTGACCGTGATTTAATAGTAATACACGTTTCAAAATAATAATAATAATAATAATGCCGAAGTAACAACATACGGAAAACTGTTAGTAAAACCATGTTTTAATGCTTTACAATTTACATACCTAGATGCACGTGTGTTGTGTTTATGCAGTGCAACTCCCACCCAGTGGGTGGCTATGTAGAGTGATAGAACAGAGCAGGCACGCCCCCGAGAGAAGGAAAGCAAGTCACGTCACAAATTAGCATTTCTAAAATGTTAGCGTGGATTAATAAAAGTGCAAAAAGACAGCGGTTGTCGCCGGAAGAAACTTCAAATACAGAGAATGCTGTGCCTGTGTTGGAAATTGTGTCTGATGGGGAGCTTTCTTTGGTTGATCCTCCTGCTCCAAGTTCTAGTGCATTAGCATTAGCACTAGCTCCGCCGCCTCCTCCAGAGCCTCTAACGTTAGCTGCTGCTGGCGCAACTGCCACCACCAACACCGGGCAAAGCGATGCACCTGACTGCTGGACAACGGACCAGGTGCAATATTTTTGCAAGACCAATGCATGGCTCCTTCTTAAAGATAAGAAGCTAGGATGTCGGATATGCAGAGATGTCAAATCTTTGGGAATACACACTGGACAAGGACTGAAACTGTCAACTGAATGGGGTGAGTGTGCAGTGTCTCATTTCGGTGTTGACAAGGGCAAACAACAAGCTAGCCTGAGAAAAAAAATCAAAGAACATAAAGAATCACAAGCCCATGTAAAAGCTGCTGACATCCTTACATCTGCTTCACGTGAAACTATTCAACATCAAGTGCAGTCTATGAATAATCTGAATTAGACACCACTATCAGAGTTTTTCGAACGGCATATAAAATTGGCAAACATAGCCGGCCATTCACAGACATGCCAATTGATTTGAATGTACAGAAACTGAATGGGCTGAACGTGGGCAGGGTTTTGCACTCCAATAAAACCTGTGGCGAAATCATCGACCACATAGCTCATGAGCTGAAGAAAAAAATGGCAAAAGACATTACAGAAAACCAAAGAAACTCTGTGTTTTGGTCGATGAATCTACCACTATTAGTGGTTAAAACGGTGCTTGTTGTGTGTCTACGCTCAGCATTAGCTGATGCTGAGCCCGAAACGTTTTTTTGGGAGCTGATCGAGTTGGATGGAACAACGGCTGATGACATCACAAAGGCGTTAATGGAGTGTCTTGGAAGAGATTTTAACGAGGACTTTTTAGGTCAGTGTTTCGTTTCTTTTGCATGTGATGGGGCTTCAGTCATGCTAGGGAAGAGAACAGGCGTTGCTACCCAGTTGTGTAGTAAATTCCCAAGCCTGTTGTGTGGCACTGCTCCAATCATCGTCTAGAGCTGGCAGTTGGGGATGTGGTCAAGGAGGTCTCAGGGCTCAATCATTTCCAGATATTTTTTGACAAACTCTATTCCTTGTTCCATGCCTCCCCCAAAAATCAGAGGCAGTTAGCGCAGTGTGCGCAAGCAGTCGGACAGCGTCTCCTGGTGATAGGGCGTGTTTTGTCCATCCGCTGGGTGGCTTCAAGTGAAAGGAGCGTCAGAGCAGTCTGGGAAAACTACCGAGTGCTTCATGATCACTTCACAAATGCTGCAAACGACACGAGCAGGGATTCCAGAGACAGAGCAAAGTACAAGGGCCTGGATGATGTGCTCACATCTGCAACGTTTGTCAGCAATCTGGGACTGATGTACGATGCGCTCACAGAGCTCAGCGACCTCTCTCGGCAACTCCAAAAAAGAGAGATGACACTGCCTACAGCAGATAGGCTCTTAACTCGAGAAATACGAGTTTTTGAATCCATGGTCACCATGCCTGGCCCACACATGACTACAGTTCATACAGCTCTAGCTGAGAAGTCCTTCAAGGGTGTTGCCCTGCGTGAGAATGGCAGGCTTGTACAGATTCATGCAGGTCAGTTTTTCCGCAGTATGGTAGAGAATCTGAGACACAGAATGACTTCCACAACCTCCTCTCATGTCAGCACAAGAGAAATCCCATTACATGGCCGGGAGGCCCGGGACAATCAGCTAATCCAGGACATGAAAGTTATCCATCCTGGAAGTTGGCCTGAAGAGGAGTTAGACGTACAGTATGGGGACGTAGAGGTGCTACGTTTGTGCGAAGTGCTGAAAGTGGACAGAAGAGAGACTGTTCAGGGCTTTCGCGAATACAAGGAAACCAGGGCATCCCGTACACCTGCTGCCATGGAGCCTCTACTGAAAGCAGTCCGAACCATCGCTGTCTCCACTAGTGAGTGTGAGCGGGCATTCAGCTGCATGAACGATATCCTTACTGCAAAAAGGAATGCTCTCTCTGTCAGCCGACTGTCCAGCCTGGTTTTCATTAAATGTAATGGACCATCACTAGGACAGTTCAATCCGGAACAGTATGTGAGGTCCTGGCTGGCAAAGGGAAGGAGAAGTGCTGATGAAAGAGCCTGTCCAGCTCCAGCCCCTGATACTGATGTCCCCAAGGCCTTCTGGAGCCTTTTCTAACAATGTGAAGTATATTGCAAAGCAGCTCACCCAGTGAGAAGACTTTTGGCATAATGTGCCGATTTGTACAGATCCTGGAGATAGAAGGACTTCAGACCAACCAGGGAGTTATCTGATCAGCTTGGTGTTCAATGTAACTCTTTACCA